GGTTGAGAAGTTAGAGGGTTAAAATGTTGTGGGGTTGTTAACCAATGTCATAAAACAACATGTGTACTACGGTTTCATGAGAAACTATTTGTTCTGTAAGCCGTCACCTGAAGTACAATTAAAAAAAAAAAAGAGTAGTTCAGACTTGGAAAGAGCCTTTCGTTGCAGTATTTTCTCAGTTGAGGAAACTGAGATTTCCAAGGTTTAGCCAGTGTTGTCTGACACTGAAATGTAGTTTTAAAACGGGCTTTGTATAAACTGTCCAGTTATCCCAGCTTAATATTTTTCATTCTTCTTACTTCACCGAATAACTCCCCTGCATTGTCTTTCTCGGAGCCCTGGTGGTGTAGTGGTTAAGCGTTCGGCTGCTAACCGAGTTGACAGTTCAAATTCACCAGCTGCTCCTTGAAAGCCTATGGGGCAGTTCTAGTCTGTCCTATAGGGCCGGTATGAGTCGGAATCGACTCCGTGCCTATGAGGAACAGGGTAGGAAATATGGATTATATAAGTAAGAAAATAACCAGTAATCACACCATTCAGATAAACCACTCAGACTTTTATTTATATAAATATCTATAAGTTTGCAAAAAGTTCTGTAAACTGCCTTTTTTTTTTTAATGCAAACTTACATCCCGAGCATTTTCCACGCTTAAAATTTCTTCATTATCCTCTTTTTTTGTCTGCCTAATGGTCCACGTGCAAGCATAGCATAACGTAAAATTATCCCTGTTGTCGGATGGTTGTTTCATCATTTTTGCTCTTAATAAAAATAATGCTAGATTAAATATCTTTGTATATGGAAACCCTGGTGGCATAGTGGTTAAGTGCTACGGCTGCTAACCAGAAGGTCGGCAGATGGAATCCACCAGGCGTTCCTTGGAAACTCTATGGAGCAGTTACCTGGCCTATAGGGTCGCTGTGAGTCGAAATCGATGCCATGGCAACAGGTTTGGTTTTTTTGGTTTTTGTACATAAAATTCACATTTCTGAACATTTAGTTAGGGTATAACCTGTTGCCGGGGAGTCAATTCCCACTCATAGTGATCCTACAAGACGGAGTGGGACTGTCCTATAGTTTCCAAGACTGTAATCTTTAGTGCCAGCTGCCACATCTCTCTCCCATGGAGCGCCTGGTGGTTTCAAACTGCTGACCTTTTGGTTAGCAGCCAAGCGCTTAACCATTGCACAACCAGGGCTCCTGCTTAGAATAATTGTTAGTTGCGGTTGAGTTGGTTCCTACTCATAGCGACCCCATGTACAACAGAACGAAACACTGGCCCATCATGTGCCATGTCCTGTCCTTTGCCATGCCGCAATTGTTCTTATGCTTTGGCCCATTGTTGCAGCCACCGTGTCAATCCATTTTGTTGAGGGTCTTCCTCTTTTTTGTTCACCCTCTACCAAGCATGATGTCCTTCTCCAGGGACTGGTCCCTCCTGATAACATGTCCAAATTATGTGAGACAAGTCTTGCCATCTTTGCTTCTAAGGAGCCTTCTGGCTGTACTTCTTCCAAGACAGATTTGTTTGTTCTTCTGGCAGTCCATGGTATATTCAATATTCTTCGCCAAGGCTGTAATTCAAAGGCATCAATCCTTCTTTGGTTTTCCTTATTCACTGTCCAGCTTTCACATGCATATGAGGCAACTGAAAACACCGTGTGGCTTGGGTCAGGCCCACGTTAGTCCTTAAAGTGACGTCTTTGCTTTTTAACACTTTAAAGAGACCTTTTGCAGCAGATTTGCCCAATGCAAATACAGTTAGAATATAGTTGAATATAAATGGAATTATTGGGCATAAGGGTATAGAGATGCTTAAGTATTGCCATGTTGCTTTTCAGAGAGGCTCTATAATTACACTCTCAGCTGTATGTGATTGTGCCTGTCTCTTCACATTTTTGCCAGACTTGAGTAACACCTTTTTAATCTTCACTAATTTGATAGGCAAAATTGGTTATAACATTCTGTAAGTAAAACAGGTACAAGAAAGCCCTGCTTGCACATGCCAGTAATTTGGCACAGTGCTCTCATTATCAATAAGGTGTCATTGACTGCCCTGAACAGAAGGGTAATTTCAGAGATGCAAGCCCTACTTAGCTCGTTTCCAGTCTGTGAGTTTGCATTTAGGGAGATGTTAACTAAAACATCCTACTAATATACAATAGAAACATTGTACCAGTTGCTTTTGAGTTGACTTTGACTCATGGTGACCCCATGTGTGTCAGAGTAGAGCTGTACTCTGAAGAGTTTTCAATGGCCAGTTTTTCAGATGAAGATCACCAGGTCTTTCTTCCAAGGCCCTTCTGGATGAAATTGAACCTCCAACCTTCAGTTAGCAGCCAAGCATATTAAACATTTGCACCACCCAGGGAGAGAGATCTTTTTAGCACATGAGTGAACTGGTTATCTTATCTCACAAAACAGAGTACAAATACTGTGTTGAACCTTTGACTTGGAATTTGAAAGATATTTCATGCATTCCTTGCTTTAATTCTGTAACTGTGGTCAATAATTAATCCTCTTTCGTCATTAATTTCTAGTTGTGCTCCTCGTAATAACTGCTACTTGAGGAGTATAGAAAATAATTTTCAATGAAAATTTAAAGGGAAATGAACTTTTTGATTAAAGACTAAGCAATACATGCTCTCAAAATACTTACAAACTCATTGGAAACTGAATAGGTGTGAATCAATTAGTGAGCCAATTAGTGAGCCACTGATTATTAAAATGTGTAATTGAGAGTAAACAAGTGCTTAGAGGAGAGGGAGAGATGACCTGTAGTGGAGTAATTGGAAAAGGTGGGTGTGTAGGAATGGGTCCTAAATAGGCTGAGGAATGAGCTTGGTAAACAGCCAGTTTCACAGTGACCACTCCAGAAAGTATTGGGGTTGTTTTGCCCTGCAGGCAAACCCAAGGCCAGAGTTCCCTGAACATTTGGGCAGGGTTGAGCTTAAGGACAAAAACTCCCTCGAGGTGTTCCGTTTGCGAAAATGTATGAAGCTCAACACGATATGTGCGCTTTTTCGTGTGTATATTATACTTCAATAAAAAGGCTTTTAAACATTCATGAGAATGGCCCAGGGATTCTCTCATGTCTGATGCAATCCTTTACTCTCTACACCTGATACCATCCAGAGTCCCACCTCCCCATGGAAAGCACTGGGGATCTGGGAAGCTGTAACTCTGTCTGGGAGTGTGCTGTGTTATCCTCTGTGTTATGGAAGGTTCTCTGAATTCCCTTAATGCTTTTTGTCTTAGTTTCCTAGTGTTGCCATAACAACAACAACAAAAATACCATTGTGGATGGATCTGAAGAACAGAAATTTATTTTCTCAGAGTTCTGGAGGCTAAAAGTCCAAGTCAGTGTCCAGGCCATACTGATTCCTTCTGAGGCCTTCATGCCTAGGTTTGGAGTCTGCCAGCAATCGTTGGCATTGTTTTTGCACATAGTGCAACCTCACATGGCGTCTGTCTTCTCCTGTATGTGTCTCTGTGTCTATTCTGCACTTTTTCTAAGACACCATGCAGAAGTGATTAGGTTTAAGACTCACCCTGCTCTGATGTTACTCATTAACATAACAAAACTCCTCTTTTCAAACCAAAATCAGTGATAAGTAAGCCTGAGGTTTTCCAGCTTCTAGAAGTCTTTGAATGTAATAACTAGGGTTTTTATATTATTTCCAATGTTCCAAATAGCCTCAGTAAATGGTACATGTGTCTGTAATGATGCATAAGCTATTATTTTTTAAATGTCATTTGTTTTATAAATAAAATATTTTAAACATGGAGACATGGAAATAATAAAAATATACTTAGTGGTGAAAAAATTGGAAACCACTTGAAACTATATGAAGATGAGTAAGGATGTAACTTTTAATTCTGACTCACAAAAGGCACCAATCTGTTACTTTCAAAGCTGGGTTACTCCACATGAAAAGAAGTTCCTTCCCATTTGTCTTTAAAATATTATGACTCTCAAATTATGTAGAAGAGTATTTAGACATAGTTTATACCTCATAGCAGCAATCCCACACTGAAAAAAATTAACACCAAAAGATGAACTATATACAGTGAAAATCCTCCACCTCTGGAGGTAACTGCATCATATGCTTAAAAGTTCCCAATAAATCTGGAGGGCATTATGTTGAGTGAATTTAGTCAGTCACAGAAAGACAAATATTGTATAAGACCACTATTATAAGAACTCAAGAAAAGGTTTAAACACAGAAGAAAACACTCTTTGATGGTTATGAGGGTGGGGAGGGAGAGTGAGGGTTATTCACTAACTAGATAGTAGATAGGAATTATCTTAGGTGAAGGGAAGGACAGCACACACTACAGGGGAAGTCAGCACAACTGAAGTAAACAAAAGCTAAGAAGTTTCCTGAATACAATCAAACACTTCCAGGGACAGAGTAGCAGGGGCAGGGGTCTGGGGAC